GAACAGCTTCTACCCTGAGGCTGTTAGACTCATGAATCTCTAACCAGAATATTCACTGTGATGCCACTTGTTTGATGATATGTGCTGCTGATTATTCATGCTACTGATCTCATGCTGCTGATCTGTTTCATGTTGCTGTGTTTATTTGTCCTCATGTGCTCAGACTCATGTTCGTGCTGCTGTTGTTTGGTGCATTGTTTTGTTCTAGTAGTGTTTTCTTAGTTTAGTGTATTTCTTGGTTCATGTCTTGGATCTTATCACTGTTTTTCTTTACAATTTTTGTTGGATGTAACTGGGACCCTGTGTACATAGTTTCATTCCACCTCATGTACCACAAGTGATGTGAATGACAATAAAGAACCTTGAGTCCTTGAATAAATTCAGGCGACCCTGAAGTCCGGGGAACCAAGAGGCCATCCGAGTCTGGATGGACAGATCGGACGGCCTCTGCGGCCAGTTGGATCCGCTGTGGGACGGACCTTCACCAGAGATCCTTCCTGCCTTCAGCCATCAGAATCTACAGCATCTCTGAACGGAACGAGGATACGAGTTACAACATTTCATTTCCCTTTGGGATTAATAAAGTATTTTTGAACTGAACTGAATTCAGCTAGTTTCAGCAAAGCTCAAGTGTTTTAGCAGAAAATGTGATTTCTTGTTTTGAGATATTCTGCACCACAGATGACGACAAGTGAAAGTGCACAGACAGGATGGATGACAGACGGAAATAATCGTTCCGCAGGTGCTTCAAGTGCTTGTGTGCAGGTAGGGCCGTCCAGCAGCAGGAAGCTTCGTGCTCGGGTGGAAGTTTCACAGTGGAACCAGCAGCTTTGCTGGTCCGTCACAAACAGCAGCCAGAACCTTTGATGTGGACTTCTGCTGTTGAAAGGAGTTTGTTCGGCCGCCGACGGAGCAGCTTCACAGCTACATGCTCCTGGTGCTGCTGGCCCTGTGGTGCAGCGGAACCTGTCAGACACGTTCTGCACCAAATGTCCCTGTTTGTCTCAGGTTCTAGATCAGATATAACGAGGCTGCAGCTGGTTTCCATAAAGGACATGTTCATGGAGGAGTGCGTGTGGAACAACACACGGCAGCTGTTTCAGCGCGGCGCTTTGATGGAACGTTAACGTGAGCACGTGCTACACTTCTACACATCGCTCTTCGCTCGGGACGTCCTCCTCCACTGGTCTGTTTGGAGACAGGCGCTGAGCGGAGACGCGCTGACGTTCCTTCATCTACGCGCCTTCTTTGTGTCACGTCGTCTACCTGTGTGAGCATCGAAGCGGGACATTACCTTCATCTTCTCTGTCAGAGCGTCTCCGCTGCTCAAATCTCATCCTAAACACTAAAATCACAACGAACGGCTGAAGTTCGCCCTCGTTGTTCCAGAGCTGGTTAAATATTCGGCTGCTGTCACGCTGGATTTAATCACTTTTCACAACTTCAGCTGCTCCCTCTTCTGAGAGTGAGCCCTTCTCCACCTCACTCTGTCCTCACTGTCCTCTGTCCTCACTCCAACCACCTCCATGTCCTCTCTAACTGCATCCACATATCTCCTCTTTGTCTTTTTCCTGCAGCTGCATCTCTAACAGCCAGTATACTCACTTGTCTCTTCTCTGGACATGTCCAAACCACTGTCAGTCCTCTGGACATGTCCAAACCACTGTTTGTCCTCTGGACATGTCCAAACCACTGTCCCTCCTCTGGACATGGCCAAACCAGTGCCCCTCCTCTGGACATGTCCAAACCACTGTCCCTCCTCTGGACATGTCCAAACCATCTCTCTAACTTTGTCTCCCAGTTGTTCAACCTGTGCTGCACCTCTGATCATCTCATTCTGATCTTCTCCATCCTTGTCTCTCCTCAGGAGAACCTCAACATCTTCATTTTTGACACTTCCAGTTCTGTCTCCTGTCTTTTTGTCCATGTCTCTGTCTCAGAGCATACAACAGAGCTGGTCTCGTCTTGTAAACTTTGTAAACCTGAACCTTCTCCTTGTCAGGTGCAGTTCTGATTAACGCCAGCAGGTGTCACTGTTTGGGTGGCTTCAAAGTGGAGCACCGTTCATGAATCAGTTGAGTCCAAGTGGTTCGTTGCTCCACGAGGCTTCGGTTGGACCGACCGTCTCTACCTCTCTGAGCCCCCAGTGAACCTCTAAGACCCAAACACCGAGGCAGCAGGTTGAATCAAAACACAACAGGACCAGAGAAGACAACAACTCACACGTCGGCTTGCTCCAGATACGTGTTCGTGAAATCAAGGCTTTGGTATCAGAGCACGTCGTGTGACCCGACACAAGACGTGTTTTTAAGACACCACGTGCACGCCAGCAGCACGCTGTGTCTGCAGCCACATGCGCAGCGTGGTATGTGTGTTCCATGTGCACACACACAAAGAACACACAGCTGAGACGCAGCTCCAACCAGACGGAGTTCAACCCCGTTCCTCTTTTATTAAAGACAAAGCTTTAGAAACGTCCTCTGCCTGTAAAATGTCACTTCCTTCGCGTTGCGTAAGCTCGTGCAGGCAGGATTTAGTCACTGACAGGAAGTCGGGGCGTTCGGTGCCGATTCCATCTCAGGAACAAAACTGTGTTCATGAACAGAACACGTCCAGCAGGACGTCCCTGTCCATGTCCATGTCCATGAGGGATTTGAACCGTGAATGTTTGGAGTTCTGGACTGGAATTAAACGGAGAATGAAGTAAACCTAAATGTTTTTGATGCAAGATATTAAGTGGGAGGAGTTACACTGTGGAGAACAGAGGGAGGTGTTTTTGTCTCATCTGGTCCAAACCCAGCTGAGACATGTGTCCTCCGTCCACTCTCTGCTCTTCAGTTGTGGTTGGGTTCAGAGAGACAACAGACTCCGGAGGGATCTTCTTTACTCTCATGGCATTTCTCGTGACGTCATTAACAACGTCCTGAGTCGAGGCCAAACATCCACCTTTTAATGGCACGAAACTACAAGTGAAGGAAAATCAAGTTTCTTTGTCGCTCGCTCCACATGTGGAACACGAGGTGGAATGAAGCCGTGTCCACAGGGTCCCAGTCCAACAATAAAATGTAAAAGAAAAACCGTGATAAGATCTAAAATATGAACTTAGAATAAACTAAGCACTAGTAGTACAGAAACAATATGTCGAACAGCAGCAGCACGAAATAACACAGCAACATGAAACAGATCAGCAGCAACACGAAACAGATCAGCAGCAACATGAAACAGATCAGCAGCAACACAAAACAGATCAGCAGCAACATGAAACAGATCAGCAGCAACACAAAACAGATCAGCAGCAACATGAAACAGATCAGCAGCAACATGAAACAGATCAGCAGCAACATGAAACAGATCAGCAGCAACAAGAAACAGATCAGCAGCAACATGAAACAGATCAGCAGCAACACGAAACAGATCAGCAGCAACATGAAACAGATCAGCAGCAACATGATATGATTTTTCACAGTGATTATTCTAGTTAGAGATTCATGAGTCTAACAGCCTCAGGGTAGAAGCTGTTCCTCAGTCTAGTGGTTCTACACTTAATGCTCCTCAACCTCCTTCCTGAGGGGAGCGGGGCAAAAAGTGTGTGTGCTGGGTGGGTGGGGTCCTTCATGATGCAGGTGGCCCTCTTCCTGCATCTGGAGGTGTAGATGTCTGTGATGGTGGGGAGACTGACTTCAACATCTTCTGTGCAGCCTTCACCACTCTCTGCAAAGCTTTTCTTTCTGCAGCTGTGCAGCCTCCATGCCACACGTTGATGCTGGAGCACAGGATGCTCTCCACTGCACACCTGTAGAAGGAGGTGAGGACTGAGCTTCCAGACCAGCTCGTCTCAGCCGTCTGAGGAAGTAGAGTCTCTGATGAGCTTTCTTGATCAGGCTGGTGGTGTTGTTGCTCCAGCTGAGGTTGTTGTTCAGGTGCACACCCAAGTACTTGTAGCTGGAGACCACTTCTACCACAGATCCTCTTATGTTCAGGAGTGGGGTTGAGGGTAGGTGTGTTTTTCCCTCCTAAAGTCCACGATCATCTCCTTTGTCTTCTTCACATTGATGTGAAGGTTATTCTCTCTGCACCAGCTCTCCAGGTGTTCCACCTCTTGCCTGTAGCTGGACTCATCATTGTTTGTGATGCATCCCACCACCGCTGTATCATCTGCAAACTTTACAATGTGACAGCCTGGATGGGTAGCTGCACAATCATACGTGAGCAGAGTAAACAGGAGGGGGCTCAACACACATCCCTGAGGAGATCCAGTGCTGAGGGTTATGGTGGAGGAGGAGAAGTTGTGGATCCTCACTAACTGTGGTCTGTTTGTTAAGAAGTCCAGGACCCAGTTGCAAATGGAGGAACTTAGTCCTAGTGTGAGTAGTTTGTCCATCAGGATTTGGGGGATCATGGTGTTGAAGGCAGACGTGAAGTCCACAAAGGAGTCCTTCTGCTCCAGGTGGATGAGAGCAGTGTGGACCACAGAGGAGACGGCGTCTTCTGTTGATCGATTCTTGTGGTATGCGTACTGATGAGGGTCCTCACTGAAGTAAAGCTGACCTTCATGTAGTTTCACCCAAACCACTCAGGATTTTACAGCCCACAAACGTAAAAACACGACAACCTTTTTAAAACTCACAAACAGAACTCCTCAAAAAACAAACAACCAGGAAGTTGTTCCACACGTTCAGGATTCTTGTCGTCCTGCGACGGCTGAAAGTTAAACACGGTAACCAGAACTCCTGCTGTGGGCTGATCAGAACCTGTCGGCAGATGTTTGGCAGCCTTGAAGCTCAGGAGCTGAGCGGCTCTTCAACTGAATTAGGCCGGAGCTCCGAGTCCGTACATGTCTGCATGGATGTGCATTTTTCAGGAACCTGCTGCATCGACGCCTCCGAAACATTCATCGTTTTCACTCCTCAGACTCTGCTGGGTGAAAAGCTTTTAGAGAAATCTGGGAGAAACGCCGTGGATCAGGGTCAACTACAGGTTGATCCCATGGACAAATGGCAAAATGGATTATTTCTCTCATCGTTTGTTTGTCATCGTCACTTCTGGAGAAGATTTTTGGTTTCAGCTAGAGGCAAATCTGAACAATCTCTGCCAAATTTAAACAACTCCGTCTTTGAATTTGATTGTGGTTCATGCGATCTTCAGCCCGACCTGTCTGGACCATCGCAGAGTCCTCTTTACCCGTCAGAAGGATTTTACTTCTCACAGCGTGGAGGCGACCAGCGAGCGCCAACTCAAAGCAGAACAGGTTCACTGACTTCCATATTCACACGTCAAGTGGGAAGTAGTTTGAGCTCAACCGGCCACTTCCTGTTCGAGCTCATTTGGTTTTCATGTCCACGCACTGAGATCTAAAATGATCTTTGTTCTCTGGTTCTATCAAGAACTGACCGAACATGTAGGACAAACAAACACGTGTCCCAAAGATCACGGAGAATATCAACAATTCAAAAAAAAAAAAAGAAAACTGCCAAAACAGCTGAAGAAAACAAAAATATTCAGCTGTTTCTGTTCAATGATCCCCGTTTAAAATGGAGTGGGAAGACTGAGTGATGAAGATGATAAAACTGGGAGTTAAAACAAGCAGAACACAAGCTAAAACAGAACTGTGGCTAAATGCTACAAGTAGCATGACAAGCTAAAATAATAAAGCAGCAAAAAACAAGCTAAAAACAGAAGAACTAAGGCTAAATGCTACAAGTAGCAGGACTGGTTAAAATATAAAAGCAGCAGAAAATAAGCTAAAACAGAACTGTGGCTAAATGCTAAAAGTAGCAGGGCTGGCTAAAGTATAAAAGCAGCAGAAAACAAGCTAAAACAGAACTGT